GTGTGTGTGTGTCTTTTTCGTGACTGGTAAGGGATCGCAACCCTTGGCTTGGTGTCGCCCGCACTGTGCTCAGCCAGTGAGGGCACCGGCCATTCCTATATAGGATCCGAACCCGTGGCGGGAGCAACGCTGCACTCCCAGCGCCGCACTCTCCCGAGTGCGCCACGGGGCCGGCCCCTAATTTTGATTTTCTAACTGCTAGTTGCTGGTATAGGCAAATACAACTTATTTTTGGTATACTGTATTGGTTTTTAACCAGTTGCAAATTTATCACTTCCCTTCAGTTATACAGTCAGATCATTTGTAAGTGATGGCTCTTTTGTTTCCTCTTCAGAGCCTCATACCTTCTTTTTTCTTGCCTTACCTGGCTAGAACATCTGCTATAATGTTGAATAACTGTGAGAGTGGGCCTCATTTTCTTGTTCACAACCTGAGGAAACACTTCATTATCTTATTTGCTGTAAGTTTCTTTTTTGGTAGACAATCTTTATCAAATTAAAAAATTTCCTTTCTCATTCTAGCTTACTTAGAATATTCTATTTATGGGTGTTGGCTCTTATCAAACAATCTTTTTGCAGCTATTGAGATGATCACATGATTTTTCTCCTTAATCTATCACTATAGTGAGTCACCATTCGTGATTTTCAAATGTTAAAACCATTCTTGAACTCAAAGACAAACCCAACTTGGTTGTGAAATTTTATATATTGCTTATATTTTATATATTCATGTATTGCTGGATTGTTCGAATTTGGTTTAGGATTTTTACTTCTATGTGCATGTTTTGAGATTAGCCTATGGTTCTTCTCTCTCGTACTGTCCTCAAGTTTTGATTTAAAGGTTATGCTAAAGTGAGTCAAAGACTGTTCCACATCTTTCTGTTTTCTGGAATGGTCTGTGTATTATTGAAATAATTTCCTCTTAAAGAAGAGGTAGAACTTACTAGTGAGGCCTTCTGGGCCTGAGTTTCCTTTCCTTTGATGTTTGGTGACTCATGAAATTTTTATTAGTGGCATAAGGCTACTCAGTTTTTCTATTTCTTGAGTCTGTTTTAAATAGTATCCTTGTGGGAATTTTATACTTTAATTGAATTCTCTAATTTTTGGTAAAACGTTGCTTATATCACTGTTACCTTTCTATAGCCTGCAGCATCTGTAGTTATGTCACCTTTTTCATTCCCGAGACCGGCAATTTGTGCTTTCTCTTCCCATTGATGAATTTTACCACAGACTAGTCAATTTTATTAATTTTGTTAAATAAACCACTTTTGGCTTTGATTGTATCTTTTATATGTACATATGCTATTTCACTAATTTCTGCTCTTATCTTCACATGCCTTTTTAACTTTCCTTTGCTGTTCTATTTGTACCTTGGTGTGAATTCTCAGCCTTTCTTTATTCACATACTCACTTATACCTATAAAATTTTAAGTACTGATTTAGCTTTATCCTACAAGTTTTCATATGTGGTACTTTCTTACAGTTCAAAATATTCCTAATTCCAGGCTGGCCCGGTGGCGCACTGGAGAGTGCACCGCTTGGGAGCGCGGTGGCGCTCCTGCCGAGGGTTCAGATCCCATGTGGAGACCGGTTCCCGCTCACTGGCTGAGTGCGGTGCGGGCGCAACACCAAGGGTTGCGATCCCGTTGCCGGTCAGTTAAAAAAAAAAAAAAGACAAAATATTCCTAATTCCATTATGATTTCCTCATTGACACATAGGTTATTTTATCAGCATAGTTCTTATTTTTTTGGATATACAAGAATTTCAGGTTACTTTTTGTAATTTAATTCTAGCTTGAAAGGTAAAGTATGGTCAGAGAATATACTCCATATAATTTCAATACTTTTGAATTTGTTTAAGCTTGCTCTAGGGTGTAGCATATCATCAATTTTTGTAGATGTTCTGGGTGTGCTTGAGAAGAATGTATATTCAATAGTCCTATGGTGCAGTGTCCTATATATTCATCAGTTGGGTCAATTTTGTTGATTGGGTTGTGAATTTGAATGTTTCTCCTTTTAGTTCTTTAAATTTTGAGGCTAGTAGAGGGAAACACGGAATGGTTAAAAACCACACACACACACACACACATTGTCAATACAAAATAAGGCGGGAAAGAAGGAAAAGACCCTCAGAACAGGTGGGACAAACGTGAAACACAAAATAAGGTGGTATGTTCAAAGCTGAATATATCAGAAATTATATTACATTTAAATGTATTAAGGGCTCCCAGCAAAGAATAAAATTTGTGAAGATGGATTAAGAAATAAAATCCAGCTTAGGCTGTTATAGGAGCCACATCTAAAATACAAAGGCACAAAAAGGTCAGGAGCAAGTATGGTCTACCAGTGCGCCAAGCTCCTTAAGAAGCAGTAAGTCATGGGGTGTCACAGGCAGCAAATCGTGGTCCCTGTACTCCCCCAATTCCAGCCTCCTTCCATCAAAACCCTCAGGGGTGGCTCTAGAGACAATGGGGAGTCCACTGGCATCTGAAGCCTCTTGGGGGACTCGGGGCTGGAGAGGGCAGATGGAGTTCTTGGTGGACCCCTAACGTGAGCTCGGTGGGAAGCAAGGGAAGTTCTGCACCTAGGTCGGCCGGGAGCCACTCCTCAGGATGGACGCAGGCAGACCCGGAGCCTTCTCTGCCCTCCACCTCCAGACCACTGGAACTCCCTTGAATTAAAAAAGTCCTTCAGTTTCTTTCATCAAAATGACCACACTTCCTCTTCAACACAACCCAGTGCAGTAGTTAAAGCAGATGGGCACAGTACCAAAGACCAAAATTACATGTAGACTTTTCACCAAATCATTGATTACAGGACTAGGGACCTACTTCCTGCAGGACAAGCGTAGCTGCAGACCATGGAACTTCTTACCATCCATTTTATTACTTATACTCCACATTCTTAAACATGTATTTGTATTTCTTCTATGTCCGATTGGATCTGAACCACCTAGTCAGGGCTGTCCTGAATATCCTCGTCTGCCACAAGCAGGCAAAGGCCAGAAGGAGGTAGCTGTGCCAGTGGCTTAGGTGACACGCCCAGTGCTGGGCAGCAGACAGGGACCCGTGTTGTCTTGCCAGCTGTGCCACTTAGAGGACGTAGAAGTGTGAGCACTTGACCCCGCTGTGCGCGTGCTCAATAGCACCTGCTGCATAAGGGTTGTGTGATGGCTATTTGCAAAGCCAACAGGCAGAACCACCTTCATGTGCCACATAAAGGTATGTGGTGGGCCCTCGTCTGCCACAAGCAGGCAAAGGCCAGAAGGAGGTAGCTGTGCCAGTGGCTTAGGTGACATGCCCAGTGCTGGGCAGCAGACAGGGACCCGTGTTGTCTCGCCAGCTGTGCCACTTAGAGGACGCAGAAGTGTGAGCACTTGACCCCGCTGTGTGCGTGCTCAATAGCACCTGCTGCATAAGGGTTGTGTGACGGCTATTTGCAAAGCCAACAGGCAGAACCACCTTCATGTGCCACATAAAGGTATGTGGTGGGCTGTTCCCATGGACCCCCCACCCCTGACCTTCCCCTGCTTAGAAGGGGTTCAGGGAGAATGGGAGGCCAGCCCAGGAGGATGGCAGCAGAAGGCCTGAGGCCAGGTGGGCAGAACTCCCCTCCTCGTGGCCAGGCCACACACACAGGGAGGTTTCTTAACTCCTCTGGAGACCTGCGCCCCAGCACTATTGGCTCTGAACCGTGTCCAGCACCGCTCCCTGCACATCCTAAACAGGAGCTGGATGCATCTTTCCGAGTTCTTCAGGAGTGGAGAGCCTAGAACTTTCACTTCTTTATTCCCTACCAAGCACCGCTATGAGCAAAGAGACTGATTATTTTAAACATCCTACATACAGGATCTTATACACGTTAGTTTCCACACTTACCCTGATCCAGAAAACACTCTAACACCCCACTTTGTGACAGCTCATCTGTCCCTGGCCAATTCACCATGCCAGCGCCTGCTCCTTCCCTGGGGCAGTGCAGAGCAAGGTGGCCACCCAGCCCTTGCCCAGCTGAGGGGTACTCAGCTGTTTGTCTCCACTGCCCCTGATGTTAGTGACACAGGGATCAAAACAGCCACAGGTGCTGCTCACACAGTCACCGTGGACAAGGCCTGGCCTGGCCTGGGCTCCAGCACTGGCTCCTCGGGGCCTTATGGCAGAGCCAGCTGTGCCAGCCCATGCCAGGCTGGTCCTTCCCAGGCAGCACATGTAGACACAGTTCCGGAAGATTCCCCAGACTAAGTAATCCAGGTGGGAACACAAGCCTGGACTCTGGCCTGGGGACGAGGATGAGGTGAGTAGACAGGTGGGCTGGATCCAGCAAGCACCTTCTGAGGGGACTGACAGCAGGCACATCCCAGCCACCGAAGACAGGCCCAGCGACAGCTAGGCATGCCTTCTCCCAAGACAAACACAAGACTGGCCCAGCCCCCAAACCTTCCCCACAGCAAATTTATATGTTGAAGTCTGATTAGGACTTCAGAATGTGACCTCATGTGGAGACGGGGTCTTTGCAGAGGTATCAAATTCAAAGTGAATTCATCAGGGTGGGACCCAATCCAATCCACCTGGTGTCCTGATAGAAGGGGGAAATCGAGATGGACGCATAGAAGACGCTGTGCAAACACTAAGAAGGCCCGGGCCATTGACAGCCCAGAAGAGGCCTGGGACAGACCCACCCTCACAGCCCAAAGGACCAACCCTGACCACACCTGGATTTTGGACTTCCAGCCTCTAGAACTGAGAAAGAGTGCCTGCTGCTTAAGCCACCCAGTTAGTGGCACATAACATGGCAGCCCCAGGAGAAACGACGTGTATAACTTTCCCAAGGCATCCTTTGGGAATCCTGCTCCCCAGCCTCACTGGCACGCTGCTGACTTCTCTTGAGGGCGGCTGGGGGGAGGCAGCAGGCGCCAATTCGTCCCCACTGTGCTGGTGGCACAATCCAACCAGCCACACCCCAGTGTGGGCCCCACCTAGCCCCTTTCTATAGGAGCCAAGAAACTTTCCTCGGCAACTAACTTCTTTAATTTAGGTTCCCTGGGTCACTCTGAGATGGCCCCACCAGGCACTTGAAGTGGGGATGAGTCTGCACATGCCACCAAGGGGCAGAGTTCTCCCAAAATGAAATCTGTGCCAGCAGTTATTCCAGAAAGCCGAGAGCCCAGCCCTTCACAGGGCTGAGACCAGGAGCGGCAGGTGGTTAGAAAGAGGGGTTCTCGGGGCCACTCTGCAGCTGCACAGAGCACTGTGTTTGCATGGTGTGCACATGTGCACACTACCCATCTGAGAGCTTCGGTGGTTCCAGTGGGAAGGACAGGATGGGGAGGTACATGTGATTGAACCTGAGCCAAGAAAGCCAGAGGCGTGGCTGAGGAATGCACCCCACACAGTGGCCGCCTGAGCAAACACCATCTGGGGGTCTTGCCTGCCGTCAGGGCAAAGGGCAGAACTCCAGCAATGGAAGGGTCAGTGGAGCAGGTGGGGAGGGAGCTGGCCCCTGCAACAGGATGGCCTGGGTGGGGCCAAGGGGCATTGGGGCCACTCCTGCATCCTGCTGAAGAATGAGGCTAATGGGCCCCCCACCTCGGGTCCCTGTGTTCACCAGCCCAGAGTCCTTCTTGAAAAGCTCTCTGGACTCCTCCCAGCAGGCTGTTGGGCTCCTTGGGCTGGTCTGGGTTTCCAGCTTGTGCTGCTCCTGCAGCCAATGGATCTGTGTCTGCACTGGCTGCAGGAGGAGAGGCCATCTGGGGGGGTAAGGCAGCAGGCACTGAAGGAGAAACGGGGCTCTGGTGGCCCCCAGTGTGTCCGAAGGGAGGGTATACAGTCAGCACAGCCTGGCAGCTGGGTGCTGAGGAGGGAGGCTGCTGGGAAGGGCTGCAGTTGGGCCCAGAAATTTCTGCCGGGGGAGGATCTGAAGGCAGCTGAGGCATCAGGTGACCCCTCCCTCTAGACAGTCCTGGGGGGTCACCAGCCCTGCAGCCTTCCACCTGGCCCCGGAGGATCTTTGGTTTAGGCCTCGTGGGGCCCTTCTGTCTCCAGTAGGGCAGGTATCTGTGACCAGGGCCATTGGCCCAGCGAGGTCCCCGGGGGAGGGTCCAAGACCAGGAAGTCTGGCCCTTCTGCCCAGGGCCCCGTGGGCGCCTCCCCAGCCGATCCACATGGGTCCTCATGGTGGCCACTTCCTGGGCCAGGCCTGCCAGGGTCACGGCCAGCCGATCCAGCTTCTCTGCAAGGGCAGCACCAAGGCTGTGCAGCTCCTGTCGCAGGGGCTTCCCGCAGGGGCATGGTGGCGGTAGGGAGGTGGCTGATGAGGCAGGAGAGACAGCAGCAGGAGGGGGCAGCTCCAGCAGGAGAGACTTGCTGGGTGGCTCAGGTAGGGCCCTGGGGAGCAGCCTTCTATGGGTCCTGGCTAAAATCAGAGCAAGAACAGGTAAGAGTTCTTGGGCTGTGAAGACCTTTTCTATCCCCCTCCAGGTCCCCTGAACTAGGATGTTTGGCATCCCGCCCCTCTAAGGCCTGGCTGCTAGAAGGGATGGAAGGGGACTCCAGCTTGAGAAGACTGGTGCCAATGCTTATTACATCAAAGTCGGCCACCTCTCCTGGCTGATGCTCAAACTGGTGGGCAGGATCAACCAGACTGGGTTTCCATGGTAACCAAGCTTTCCTACAACAGTGGTCTTCCTGCCTTCTAGGAAAAGAAATCAATGGGTTCTTTGTGTTGCTGTTGGGACCAAATGGCTGCCCACAGCACCTAACCCTGCCCTGGCATCAGTGAGAAGGGCCCAGGGCAGCCCCCCAGATAACATGAGGCCAAGGTCATGGGGGAGCGTCTGAGAGGTGCTCCAGGAAGGCCAGTGCACCTGAGCCTCCCAGGCATTTCCCATCAGGTGACCTCAGGGCCACTTCAGTACCCAGGGCTCTTGGTCATAAGCAAACCACAAGGGTTCTCACCCCCTCCTGCCTTTACTTTCTATTCAGAAGTTACAGAGTCATAGGATTCTAAGTCTAAAATTTCTTTTAAAAAATCACCTAATCCTTCACCCCAAATTCCCTGGAACTGGTCTCCACCCCAGGCAAACCTCACAAGACAGCCCTGGCACAGCACTTGCCAGCCTTAACCTGCTCAGCCCAACCAGGCACGGAGATCTGCCCCCCCCACCACCATTCCTCTAAGCCCCCAGCCTCAGCTCTGCCCTTTCCTCCTCAGCACTTCTAGGGCTTCAAACAGAAGGAAAAGTCCAGACTGGAGTGGCCACAGGACCCAAGCATTGTCTGGTCAAGTTCTGTAAGCCGGGCTCTGAGCTAAGCCTGGAGGCACAGGCCCACGGGCTTCTAACTGAGGGACAGGTGAGGCTCAGCCACCCTAGGCCAGCTCAGAGCTCCTAACAAAACTGCTGTGCCCGGAAAGGAGCTATAGCTCTGAGTCAGTGAGAGAACCCCCACCACAGACCACACTTCATGTCCCTGGTGGGACCATCCCACAGTGATCCAGGGCTAGGCCAGCTCAGAGCTCCTAACAAAACTGCTGTGCCCGGAAAGGAGCTATAGCTCTGAGTTAGTGAGAGAACCCCCACCACAGGCCACACTTCATGTCCCTGGTGGGACCATCCCACAGTGATCCAGGGGACTGGGTGCCATGTTCTCCTGCCTTCCCCCAATGTGGCTCCTCAGAGGCAGGAAGTGTGACACGGAGCCAAATCTCTCTGGATGATGGGCTGGGTCACGTGGCAGTACTGTGCCTCAGTTTCCTTGTCTGTTCTCTAAAGTCCCCTCATACCCCAAACTTTGATTCTGGTACATTTCTCAATTTCTGCCTCTAAAAGGTATGCCTGTGTGCTTTTATGAAGATCCCGACACTGAAACAAAATCTGTAACCTGAAGTGGCCGAAAGGTGAGACTTTTCTTACCCATTACCCAAACAATGAACCCGGAAGGGTGTCCCCCAAGCTGGGATCCTGGGTCTTGGCCCGCAATCTGTAACCTGAAGTGGCCGAAAGGTGAGACTTTTCTTACCCATTACCCAAACAATGAACCCAGAAGGGTGTCCCCCAAGCTGGGATCCTGGGTCTTGGCCCGCAAAGAGGTGATGGGAAAGCCACCAGTTTACCTGCAACACTGGGCCTTCTGTGCCCAGGCTCCAGACCCTCGGGTTCTTCACCAGCCCTTGGCCTTTTCTCCAGCTGAGAAGCAGGGCCAGGATCCTTAGGCACCCCTGCGGAAAGAGCACAGAGTGCTTGGGATGGTGACACATACAGTGTTGCCAGAGCCATTCTGACAGGGGGATTTTCTCATGTGGCCTAAACTTTCAACTTTCAAACAATGATTAATTGGGATGTGAGATGATCACTGGGCCTGTCAGGGAGTCTAACTCTGGTCAAGTGGCCAGTGGCACGTGTGGGGACTTCGGTGTGTTTGGTGTGCAGGCCCCGTCTGCAGGGTGCGGGTGTACTAGAGTCCTCTGCAGCTCCACCTGGGAGCACAGGTGGAGACGACTCTAACCTAGGGGTCTGCCCCCAGCGAGACTCCTCCAAGGACGTGCTGGGGGCATCACGGGGTCCACGCCGAGCTCACCTCATCATTTTCCTCTAGCCCACTGGGCAGTGAGGAATGTGGTACAGTCCAGGGCCTGCATAAGGTGGAGGCCAAGGCCTGCGAATGGAGCCACGGCAGGAAGGCGGGTGAGCTCCCTCCTCCGGTCTCCCAGCCCTACCTCCGCCTCCTGTGGCACTGCCCAGGGGGCCAGGGTGGCAGCTGCTCTCCACGCTTTCTTCTTTCCCAGGCAACTGGGACCTGCTTCCCAGACTCTCTTCTGCCTGTCCTGCTAGGAGCAAACACTGGGTCACAGCTCAGATGGAGGAGACAGAAGGCCTGGGGCCGCAGGTGGTGTTTCCAGCCTTCTTGATGCGACAACCTCAAAGAAGTCCTCCCAGGGGGGAAATCGCACTTTTGATACCATTTTGTTGACTGCTTGCCAAGTTTTAAAAATACTTATTATTATTGCATACGTACATGTATGTACTTATACGCTGAGCATATATAACATGTATATGTTACGTACATAACATATACACATTGTTAAGCGGGGTGCCGATTTTCTCACTGTAGACGCTCATGAGCACGTCTCCGGCCCTCTGCCCCTCAAGGGCCTGGCCTTTGCTCTGTGACGCAGCTCACCTGATGGGAACTACAAGACAAATGTGGAGGACTTTCTGGCAAGATGTAGGTAAAGTGATGGGAGGGATTCAGAGAACCCAGTCTGGACTCCTGGCTCTCTGGGGGACACGCGGCTGCCCCTCTCAGGAGACCCCATGCTCACCTGCACTGAGACTGCTGCAGTCCCTGTGCTCTGCTCTCCTGGGGTCTTCAGCATGGCTATTGCTCCTGCTGCTGCCAGTGGGGGGCCCACCAGAGCATGGGGACACAGGGCCAGGACTCTTGTAGCTGAGAAGGCGGTCCTTCTCTGGCATCAGAGCAGTGAATGGTGGCCTGGGGTGCAGCTCACTCTGGGGGAGAGGCTGCCAGAGCTCGGGCTCCAGCCTCAGGTCTTCTCCATCAGAGCTACTGAAGCTTGAGCTGGAGCCGGGGCTGGGGCTGGGACCGGGGCCAGCCACGAAGGAGAAGCGCAGCGGCCTCACGGGCAGGATCACCCTCAGAGAGCTCTCCAGGCAGTGTAGAGGGGAGGGTGTGGTGGCTGCCCCTGGGCAAACAAAAGCAGGAGAGCCCCTGTCCATCAGCCCAATGACAGCCGGGAAGACTTCCCTAATGACTCAGCCCACAACCCAACATGAGCTCTGGTGGACTCTGAACAGCTCACTCTGGCCATGGAAGGTGGAGAGAGAAGCGAAGGAAGGGCCTGGCCAGGTCCCCAGCCACTCTGGAAAGTCAGCTGGGGAACTTGCCTGAAGTCTCAAGTCCCTGGAAGCCACTCGAGGTCAGGTTAAGCCAGGCAGCCTATCCCACCCGGCAGGCACCATCCCTTCAACCCAGCACCATGCAGAGACCAGCAGTCCAAGAGCAGAGGTTCTGCAGGGCTAGTCCTGGCCTGGCGGGAGGGTTAGAAAAGCCCCATCTCCTCAGCTAAACCATCCCGCCTGCCACGCGGCAAGCCAGGAAGGAACACTGTGGAAGTCAGACTAAGCGCATCACTGGACCCCTCCAGCCCAGGTGGCTTCTCCGCTGGACAAACCCAACAGATGGACAAAGACAGCATTCTTCCTGCCCCTTTGTCAGCACCTCATGTCATTTTATCTGCTTCTTAGCATGCCTCAGCCTGTCTGGCTCCAGCTTCCATGTTTTGGGGAAAAGATGTGGGACAGGGCAGGGACAGAGGAAGAGTGAGAGAAGAGGATCTGTTTCCTTGTCAGGACAGAGCACATGGCAGCAAACACAGAGGGCAGGCGTCCACTCACCGTCTGGGAGCCACCTCCATGATCCCAGCCTGGGTGCCGCATGGTCTTGGAACCCCTGCTGGCGCTGGCGGCAGGCAGGGACAAAGCCAGCAGAGAACGCCTGTGGGCTGGCCAGAGGGAGGCTCCTGGGGGGCACTTCTGCCCTGCCCTGTCCAAGGTGAGGCGGCTCGCAGGCCTCGCCCCTCAGTCCTGTTTTAATGAGAAGCAATAGGCCGTGAGAAGTGGGGCCTGGTGCTGGCACAGGAGAATGGACAGAGGACAATTTCTACCACTGTCAGGCTCTCAGCATGCATGCTTCAGGTGGGAAACATCAGCCTGTGACTTTCCGAGGAGCAGTGGATGGTGGTGCTGGGGTGTGTCTGTCCTGCACCTTGCCCGCCGCCCAGCTGCAGGTGAGTGCCGAACAGACTATCAGCCTTTCTGGCTTCAAAGACACATCTCTGCCCAAGCTGTTTCCACAGCATGGTCTCTGCTAAGGTATGGATCTGGACCCGTGAGGGTGGCAGCGTTGGAGCTGCCCTGTCCCACTCCCAGGGACCTGTGGCAGCCACTGCGTTACCTTCCTTGTCTGCCACCCAGTTCCTGGGCTCTGCTCTCTTCGGTCCCCTGTCCACTGCTGAGCAGGACCAGGCAGACTGCAACCTGGGCACAGGAATCTCTTTGAGACAGTTCTCTAGACTCTGGAGTGGGGAGCTTCCTGCTGGGCTTCCTGTGAAGATCACACATTTGCAGTCTTGAATGGTGGCAGCCCAGTCTCTGCACACCCCAGGAGCCTCCCCTCTTCTGCTGGGTCTGAGGCAGGAGGGGCCCTGAGAGGAGGAGCACAGAGCACCGGACAGAGACCTAGCCCCAAACATCTGTCACTTCTGGCTCTGGGGCGGCCCTGCTTGGGGTGCCCCAGCAGCAGCCTGACCTGTCTTGGCCACCTACACAGAAGCTTGGCCCAGGGGCTGTGATGGGGCGACTGGCCACATGTGTGGGTTCTAGGCTTCCTCAGTCCACCCAGCTGCCACCAATGTGAGTGAAGATGCTTCCCTAGCACCCGTGACAACCTTAAAGATGGAGTGTGTTAAGGATTCCCTCACCACCCAAAGAAGGGCAGCACCACAGGCCCCCCCGCCTCCAGGTATGACACAGCAGGCCACGGCAGGCCAACACGGACACAGCTCCAGCTAGGAAGAAGCCAAATATGTTGCAAAATCATCTTTCTAGGGACAGAGAACTGTGCAAGCAACAGGAACTAGATGAATTGAAACTCTAGGGAAGGAAGAGCCCTCCCTAGGTGAGCCGGCAGCGCTGGCCATCCTCTCTCTGGTAAGTGTCTGCTGATGGTTGGGCCCAGGCAGAGGGCCAAAGAGAGAAAGTGGCAAAACTTCTGGCTGCCATGTTGGGCGGAAGGGCAGAGCCTAACTAAAGGATCTGCAAATGTGTTTTCCCACACACAGGACATCCACGCGTTCTGGGTAACAGAGGGAGCTGGGGAGTGGGCTGGAAGCTTCTACAAGGCAGTGTGAAATCTCCTGCAGTTGGGGTTACTTAGAAAACAAAGTCATCGGCAGAGGACACATGAGAAAGATCAACTACAGATAGAACTACCACATAATCCAGCAATCCCACAACTGGGAGTGGGGAAGAGCACAGTGGGGGGTCACAGGAGAGTCCCCTGGAGAAGAGATCTGGGGCCCTGGCGTGGACGGCACCAGGAGACCCTGCTGCAAGGTATCTCCCACTGGGGTTTCCCCATGGTGCTGGCTGAAATCCCACAGCATATCAACCCACATAAACCCCACAGTTAGTCTCATGTGACTGGAGAGAATGAGAGTCCTAAGAGAAGGAAGTGGCGCATGCTGCAGAACAAGAACGAAGCTGGGCTAGTGGCCAAGGGACATTTGGACAAAATGAAGAAGGATGTTAAGGACAAATGTTTAAGACAAAAGCAAAGTGAGGATGTGCCTAGAATGCTGCCATGTGTCACACGATTTTGTTTTCCCACATAACCTTCTGCAGCTTTTGAACAGAACTTTGTGATTATACTACCTATTAAAATCTAAAAATTAAAAGAAAATGCCCTTTGGAGCAGCTTAGGCCTGCTCCAGGGGCCCCATCAGCCTGGCCAAGGTCCCGGCTGCAGTTCGAGGCTTTTCCATTGACAACGACATGGCCAGGACAGAGGCGAGCACTGAGGGACCAGGTGTCCATGGGACAAGACGAGACCCACGGTACTTGGGTTATTCAGGTGGGGGAAAAAAAGAAGGCCAAGAGGGGACACTGGAGAGTCCTACAAAATCCCCAAGTCCCTGGGAATGACTCTACTCAAGGGATCCAGGGCAGGCACGGGCCACAAGTCACACTCTTTAAAGTGGTTTTATATGAACCTCAGTACATTTTTTCCTAAGTTGGAGGTCGGTTTGATATTACAGGCACCTCTTTGAGGCTGGGATAAGGAGGAATTTAATGCAAAAGGAGGTTTTTAAAGAGATCTTAGATAATGTCCTGACTCTTCTGAGCCAAATCACTAAAATGGACTTCCTCTCCTCCCCTCACCCCCTCCCAGGACAAGTCCTGCATCTGCTCTTGCCTCAGTATCCCCAGCTCAGCTGCTGGCACTGGGCAGGTAGCCAGATGGAGGGCACAGGCCTCGCATCCTTTCCCAGGAAGGACTCCCTGCCTCAGGCCCATGCAGCTCACCTTTTCCATTCCGCTGCCCCTCGCTCCCCCCAGGGCTCCTGAAATCCAGGTCCCCGTCAGTGCTGCTGGATGAAGATAAGCTGGCGGGGGTGCCTTGGGGGCCTGGGGGTCGGTCAGGGCCATCTCTTGCAAAGCCCTGCAGGCCCAGAGTCAGAAGAGGCTCCCTGGCCGCCTCTGTGGGGAAGCCACTGGGTCAAACTCACTGAGGGGAAGGGGGCTTCCCTGCTCCCCATCTCTATGTGGGCTGCTGGAGGATGAGCTGCTGGTGGGCGTGGTGGCCAGGTAGGGATGGCTGACGGGGGCATCCGGAAGGCAGCTAAGCAGGCCTCGAAGGGTGCAAGGTTCCACTGCCACAGCAGCTGTTGGGGAGCAGGGAGAAGACACTGACCACTGGTAAAATGCCCCTGTCATTGTCACAAGCTTGCCATGTTCTGCTAACAACAGCCAGGATGTCAGTAACCTGTACACTGTCATCACTGAGCTCTGAAACTTAGATTTCTAGCCGTGGTCATGTCCTGATGAAATATGAAGCAGCAGCTCTGAAGCCACATAATCCAACCCAGCCCAAACATACATGATGGGAACCCCAAATCCCACTTATTCTAACCGTCCAAACACACATGATGGGAACCCCAAATCCCAGTTAATCCAACCCAGCCCAAACATACACAATGGGAACCCCAAATCCTGCTTATTCCAATCAAGCCCAAACACACATGATGGGAACCCCAAATCCCAGTTAATCCAACCCAGCCCAAACATACATGATGGGAACCCCAAATCCCAGTTAATCCAACCCAGCCCAAACATACATGATGGGAACCCCAAATCCCACTTATTCTAACCCAGCCCAAACACATGATGGGAACCCCAAATCCCAGTATGCCCTGAGTGGTTACTGGGCTGGAACTCTGTCTTCTAGCTCTTGGTCTCGTTCCCTCCCTACCATCCCTTCCTTCCTCTGGAATTTTCAGCTCCTACCATAAGAGCCAGTCTGGAAAAGTGTCAAGGACTGAGTAAGCACCTCCTACATGCCATGCTCCATTTACACAGTGATGACCCTCAGCATGTGGCTCCTCTGCCTGACACGCTGATGGGGGGTCCCGTGTGTTTACAAGAAGGTCAATACAGCCCTTCTTGGAGCAGGGAAAGGAAACAGTGATGTTGGGGCCCCTCCCAGCCCAGCAAGGGGACTTTACCTCCAAAATTCCTTTTCCAGGCCCCTTGGTCCTCCTGCAGCTTGGGGTCCCCTGCTCCTGAGGGGCTGGGATTCCCATCCTGGACCTCTGGGATCTCCTTTAGACAGTTCAGCAGACCCTGGAGGGGACAATCCCCTGACACTGCCTCTGTCTTCACTAAAGGAAAAAGGAGCATATTTCCACCGCGAGCTTTGGTCTTCATGACAAACAACAAATAAGGGACAATCCAGTTGTGCAGTTAAAGGGGCACAGTGCCAGAAATCTGGAGCTGGAGGTCTTCTCGTAAATCACTGGGTCTTGTAGGATCCTGTCTCTTGGCACCCAGAACGCCTGTCTACTCCCCTCCCAGGACCGCACAGACAGAGGAGGAAGACAGGAAAGGGGCCCTGAGGGCACACACATGGCATAACTCTGAGAACAAACTGAAGGCAGCAGTGGCGGGTGGCTGCTCACAGATAGCTCTCTGGGCCCTGAGAGGAACTAGCATCTGAGGAGGACCAAGCTTTTCAGGCACACACATCCATATGCATGCACACAGCAAGTACATCACTGCAGTCAGGCTCGCTGCAGCTGTGTGAGGTTGCAGCGATCACCTCCTTTTACAGAGAAGCAGCAAGGCTTGAACGCTGCAGCAGTCTCTCAGGGTCTGACTCTGAGACCAGTGCCCCACGCATGTCACCTAATACAACGTGAAGGGACACCCAGCCCTGCAGCTCCTCTCCTCATGGTCCCACATTAGCAAGCCGTAAAGTGCACAAAGGAAACCAAGGCGAAGTCTGTTTCTGAGTTTTCCTGTTCTAGCTAACCAAATGCTGTCCTTAGAGACCCATCTGGCTTCAGAAATACGACACTGGTGATACAGGAGCAGCCAAGTTGGTACTGATCCTTATAGGGGACACTTTGGAGCAAGAGAAATAGCTATAAAAAGGCAATCCAAACTTTCCAGGGGCTTCAGAGACCCTGGCCTGAGACCAGGTCCCTGGGGACTACTCACCTCCCGAGGGCAGGCTCCCAAGGCTCAACTCCACTCTGGTTGGCCTTGATGTACCCAGGCCGGGGAGATGGGGCAGTAAGTTTGGGGATGGCTCAGGGTGCTGGGGCCCAGGCACAAGGATTTCTTTCAGACAGTTGATGAGGCCTTGCAAGGGGCTGTTCCCAGGAGAGGTTCCTGTAGCACATGCAAGGTCAGCTGAGGTCAGCCAAGTCCTGACAGAGCAACCGTGAGACCTTCAGCAGACCCGAGTCTATGGGTGGCTGAGATTCCCACCCGTGAGAACAGAGACCAGGCCTGCCTGGCAGGGTTGCCACGAGGCCAGAGGGGAGAGCAACACGACCTCACGCGTGAACTCCACACGCCTCCCCATCACCACCCCACTCAGCTCCAGGGTGGGCCCCACTCCCAGGAGAGCCAGACTCTTACCTGTCTCCATCGTCCCTCTCTCCTGCCTTCTGTGGCTCTTTTTCCTTCCGGGGCTACAGGTGGGAGGACTGGGCTCCTCGCTGGGGGCTCTTGGGCCTTCTTGCCCTGTAGGCCGTGGTTTGTCAGCAGTTTCTGTTGCAAGACAGGAAGACCTTTTTAGCCTCGGATCCTGACTCTGGAAGATCACCCCTGAGCTGGTCCCCACACAGGACAGGCCTCTGTAGCTCCCCAAGTCCCTGGGGGGCAACCAAGTCCTGGGAACTTGGACTTGTGGTGGGGCAAGCTGCTGGATGATTTGGTCCAGGAGGGCTGGGGGCCTTTCCCTGTTTCCCTTTAGTTTCACTGTAAATACTCCTAGCCCCAGCCTCGAATTTGGCTCAGCAAGTAATGCCAGCAGCCACAACTACAAGCCACAATCTTATGCTCATGCTTCTCAACCAGGGCACATGGAGCCCTAGAGCAAATGTGCCAGATGGCACCTGAGACCACAGGCTACTAGGTATTTTGGGGGGGACTGCCAATTTTATTTCATATTAATTCAAAATATTTTTAATAAAAACAGATATTCAGACAAATGCAAATTCTGCAAGAATTTTTAAAAATAAAATGAGACCCCAGAGAAATTCTAGTGGCTACCATTGCCTCCTCTGAGATTAGAGTGGCTCTGATGAGGTCTGAGAATGAGAGCAGGTGTGCCAGGTCTGTTACCTGCCAATGGGCTTGCATGTGAGAGAGCACCCGAGGCTTGCTGTGTGTGTGCACACAGAGCTCAGCACTCAGGGCTGGCTGAGAAGCCACCTGAGGACCAGGCATCACACCTCCTCTTTGGTCTACAGACCAGAGGCTAAGCATGCTCCTTAGGGTGCTCTGTCCCCCTTTAGCAACAGAGGAAACTGAGTCCTAGGGAAAATGAAGAGAGCGCAGGGTCCAAGTCCCCTGATTCCAGGGTGGGAGCCCTGGAAATGCTGGTTCTCTGTCCCCACTGGGTCAAACTCACTGAGGGGAAGGGGGCTTCCCTGCTCCCCATCTCTATGTGGGCTGCTGGAGGATGAGCTGCTGGTGGGCGTGGTGGCCAGGTAGGGATGGCTGACGGGGGCATCCGGAAGGCAGCTAAGCAGGCCTCGAAGGGTGCAAGGTTCCACTGCCACAGCAGCTGTTGGGGAGCAGGGAGAAGACACTGACCACTGGTAAAATGCCCCTGTCATTGTCACAAGCTTGCCATGTTCTGCTAACAACAGCCAGGATGTCAGTAACCTGTACACTGTCATCACTGAGCTCTGAAACTTAGATTTCTAGCCGTGGTCATGTCCTGATGAAATATGAAGCAGCAGCTCTGAAGCCACATCCCCACCAACCCTGTGGCGTCCTCTACCTCCTGCCCCCACTTTCTATCTCATTCCCATCAACTGGGTGGGGCTGGATGGGACAGATGTACAGGGGAGGTGGGACCTGAACTGAGAGCAGCAAGTGAGCAGAGACAGGGGACAGGAAAGATGGTTGGGGAGGTGGAAAGAACACAGACCTGGGAGGGTAACATGGGTCCCCGCTGGCTACTCCAGCAAAGCACACCTCCCCTCTCTTTTGCAAAATGGTGACAAACACACTGCCCTCGCCTACCATGCAGGGCACAAGGGGACAGGGTGGGACTGCAAGGAGATGGCTTAAGCCATGCAGAAACCACCACGCAACAGTCAGGGCTGCTCTCTCCAACTCTGCCCCATGTTCTCAGAAGGTGGACACATGGCCCGGGGTGTCAGGAACTGCTGGTGACTCTACCTCCCTGTGTGTGCCTAGGTCAGGGACTGGGCAGGTACACTGCCATGGTGCCGTGGACTTGAACTTCATCTTGTGGAGTGCAGAGAAGGCTGTGTGTGCTGCAGAGGCCGCCCTGGCTGTCTAACTTACCCTCTGGGCTCGCTCTCTCCCCATCCAGGCCAGCCGCCCCACTCTCGGGGCTGTCCACAGCGCCCTTGCCTTCCCCGAACAAGAACTCTGGAATCTCCTTCACCAGCTGCACCAGGGCAGTGAGGTGCAGGCTGTGCCGGGGCTGTCCTCCTGCGGAGAGGCTGCAATGAACCCCATGTCCCTGTGGCTGCTTGGCACTCACACTCTGTGCACATCTGCACACCCAGCGTCTCATGTACTCTTCTGACTCACAGAAGGAGCAGCCAGAGGAGAGACCGATGTCCCCTGAGATACTGAGGACTTGGGCTCAGGCCAGGTGCTCTGCCCAAGGGCATGGCCATGGCGGGGCAGGGGTGGGGAGGCTTGGGCAACTGGATTCTTCTTCTACCCTCGACTACTCCTTACCTCTCTACTCCGGTCTCCTTTCCTTCAAGGGGAATGTCAAGTTGGTCAGCCTCCATCCTCCCCTCCCACTACCAGGGTCCTCTGCCCTTCCCGGAACCCCCCAAGCTCCAAGTCTAGGCCCTGTGGCCCACATCCACCAGCTGAGGTCTCAGATGTTAGCCTCATGGCAGGACTTTCAGGAGCTGCAGGCTGGCTCTGTAGGAGTGGCTGTAATGAGGCTTCAGAGTGGTGGCAGGAAGGGGGCTGGAGGCAGGTGGTGCTCTCCAGGGTTACCCCAGCTTTCTTCTGAGCACTTCTCCACTGAATGGACAACATGTAACAGGCTCCCAGCCCAGAGGGTTGAAGGTGAAGGTCAGGGAGGGTTGGGTTAGGGGCATGGCCAGGTGGGGAAGGCTGGACTGAGCAGGTTTACCCCAGCTTTCTTCTGAGCACTTCTCCACTGAATGGACAACATGTAACAGGCTCCCAGCGCAGAGGGTTGAAGGTGAAGGTCAGGGAGGGTTGGGTTAGGGGCATGGCCAGGTGGGGAAGGCTGGACTGAGCAGGTTGAAGTCATGGGGTCACCTGAGAAGGGGAGCCCAGGTGCCAGGGACCATGTGAGTTGGAGGGGACACCCAAAGTCTGCTAGATGACTTACCCTGGGGGCCTCCTCCACCAGGAGGCTCCTGCCTCTCAGCAACAAGGCTCCTTCCCTCCATGGATCCTCCAGGCTCAGTAGGTGACAGGAAAGCAGAGAGGGGCAGCAGCTCAGCTGTCCCTGGGAAAGAAAAGAGGGGACAGTCACCCTGGGAATGGAGTGGCCTCCACCCTCCCACACAGTCATGTGGTGGCCCAGGTGCCTGCACATCTGTGTACACGTTTACATGTGTGCTCATGTGGTCGCCCAAACTCAAAGACCTGCAGAGCGGTCAGAACCTCAGAGACCACTGCGCACCCCTATGGACTTGCACCTGCAACCCTACTGCAGCCCATAGAATGACTTGGCAGGAAAGATAAAGCCAGGCCTGGGCTCAGCCCCATGCACCCAGAACACTGCCTGAAACTGTGTTCACTTCACACACGAGAAGACTAAGGCCCCAGCCAGGGTGCTGGGTTCCACGGAGACTCAGGACCCCCTGGTACCAGACTCCAGCCTCCCTTCCACCTTTTAGCCCCAAACAGGGATGCCCGCCAGCCCCAGGCACGGTGGCGCCTTACCCACGGAGACCAGCGTCTCATAGTTCTCCCGCATCACATCCCGGTAGAACTCCCTCTGCCCCTCCTCCAGGAGCCGCCACTCCTCCTCGGAGAACCTCACGGCCAAGTCCTTGAAGGTGATGGACACCTGTGGGCACAGTCTCCGGGGGTGTTGGTTGATTCCACCCCAGCAAGGCCCAGCCTGGCTGTCCCTCAGCTTAGTGACCCTGCCCGTGTCTTCACGTGGACACCAGGGAGAGGGAGAGCAGAGGGAGCCTGGGGTGGGGTGCATGATGCTCAGGAGCAGCAGGAATCTGCTCAAGAGACAGGGGTGGTGGTCGAGTCATATCCCCCCCAAGATGTGCTGAAGTCCTTACCCTCAGTACCTGTGAATGTGACCTTATTTGGGTCAGTGCAGATGAAGTTAGTTAAGGTGAGATCATAGTCATAAGTAGGGTGATCCCTTTATCCAGTATGACCAGTGTCCTTACAAGAAAAGAAGAGACACAGAGGCAGACGGGCAGGGAGACCGGGCAGGGAGATGAGGCTGCGTGAAGGCGGTGACAGAGAACAGTCATGCAGCCACAAGCCAAGGAATGCCTGGGGCCACCAGGAGCTAAAGAGGCAGGAAGCATCCCACCTCTAGCCCTCCGAGGGAAAGGTCCTGCTCACACCTTCTTTTCAGGCTTCTGGCCTCCAGAACTGTGAGACAATCAATTTCTGTTGTTTTAAGCCACCTGGTTTGTGGTACTGTGTCATGGCAGCCCCAGAAAACTCACATGACAGTCTCATGCCCTGTGGTCACTGAGCCCAAGCAAAAGTCAACCCCAGCACAGGAACCCCAGCCAGCCCTCAATTTACCACGTTAGAGATTCATTTGAGTTAATACAAAAACTTCCCTTTGAATGTGCAAGGACCTGGGACTCTAGCACTGTGCCATTAAAAAAAAAGTTTACAAATAAAGTTATAATAAAAAAAAAGAACTCTATAGTTTTTACTGGGGATGATACAACAGTCAGGAATCAAGCCAGCAAAAATTTGTGTTGCTCCTTCAAGCACCAACTAGAGACAGAGAGAGAGACAGAGAGAGAGACAGAGGGAGGGCGAGGGAGGGAGGCGAGGGAAGGAGGGGAGGGAAGGAGGGAAGGGGGAGAGAGGGAGAGAGGGAAAGAGGCGGGGGGGGGGGCAAGCAGAGAGACAAGGGTGATAAAAAACTCAAGCAGCCTTGCAAGTCTGGAGAAGACAGACCTCCCCTCACCAGGACTAGGACGGCTAGCCAGCCAGGCAGATGGTGACCCCGCTGGCCCATGTCATGGGCCTTGATCTCCAGACTCCACTCCCTGTGGCCACAGCTCTCCTGTAGACCCTCGGGCCGGCCAGGCTGGCCCTCAGCTCCCAGCAGCTGTGCTGGCCTCCAGACCCTTGCTGGCTCAGCCTGCCTGACTTTCCAGGTCCTACCTGCCCTTCAAGGTCCCACCTGTCCACAAAGCCCCTCTGCCCAGGCCAGCTACCTGTCATCCCCACTGTCATGACCTGGGGCATTTATCACCTGGCCCACGCAGCACATCCTCATGGAGTTCCTGCAGCACGAGGGCAGATCGACGGGGGTGACGCTTCTGAAGCCCTTCCGGGCCGCTGTCCAGGCCTCCCCACTTCACCAGGGTCCCTGACCCCGGCCTCTCCCCAACTTTCACCCCAGCCCCTCTGGGCTGGGATCAGAGAAGTGCTCAGAAGAAACCTGGGGTCACCCTTGGAAAGTTCTGGAAACGGAGTTCTTTTACACTCTGTACTCACATAAGTATCTTCAACCTTCTATTCTCATCTTCTGTTACCCTGGGGCTTTTTAAGATAAAAGTGACTATCTGCCTCAGTTTCTTTAAAAACAGTCATTTAGTGGACTTTATGATGGCCAGCAGACCCTAGAAAATGACCAAAGCCTAATAGCCATGATTTTAAAATTACCACAAAAATTAACTTTGCACAAATTAAGCAAACAGAATGTAAATTATGGGAAGGGCTCTTCTGGCTTAGAAACAAATGCTAAACTATTTCTAAGAATTATTAAAGAAAATGAAGACTTTCCTAATAAAGCAAAGAAGACAATCTATCGCCTTATTTCCGCTACTCAAGTCAGTGATGGTAGAACGTGTCACTGCTGCTCACTGGTGGCCTCCTCACTGACTCACAGCACTGACTCTGGCACCCTGTGACGGCTGACAGCTTGCACCACACAGTCACATCCACCAGTGCTCTGCTCCACTTTCGAGCTGGTGGGCCCCACCTGGGCACCTGGCTACAGGTGGCCTCTCAGTGCCTGGCTGCGGGCCCACCGCCCAGCCCACCTCTGCCCCGACTCCCTGCCCCAGGCACTCCCGACCACCTCCACGGCCCAGCTGGCAGCCAGAGACTCTCTCCCCCTTGGAAACAGTCCCAGACATCTCTCAAAGAGCCCTTTACATTCCAAGCCTTTCAGACAAATCAAATGTAGCCAACACTCTACACAGCAGAACTAACAGCAGGTCTGGGGCTGCTGTCCTTAGAAAGGCCTGCTTGCGAGGAAGGCTGCAGGCTCTCCAGAAACCTGGATTTTGGGAGGGTTCCCACCCTGCCCTAAATGATGAGAGTGATGCACAACGCCTCCACTGTGTGCACATGTGAGGTGGGTTAGGCCGAACCCTGCTCTCCTTCTGGGAGTCTGGAATCCTAGTACGTGCTATGCAGAGGTGCCTGCGTGACCAGCTCCCACTGAGAACCCTGGGCACTGAGCCTCTAGTGAGCTCCCCTGGAAGACCACAGCTCACACATGCTGTCACACTTCCATGCATTCCATGTGACTGTACTTGGAGAGAACTTGGGGGCCTGACTCTGGCTCCCCTAGACTGTGCCCCAAGCGCCTTTTCTCTCAGCTGGTTTTGCTTTGCGTCCCCTCACTGTAACAGACCTTAGCCATGAGTACAACACTGTGTATGCTGGGTCCTGTGAGTCCTCCTAGTGAACCCCTGAACTGGATGGTCTTGGGAACCCCAATGCAGGGTCCCTGTGACACTTCCTGACAAGGCACCAGCAATGTGAGGGCTCAGGGCGTGCCCCTCCTGGCCCTCTTTCTTCTGAGCACTTCTCCACTGAATGGACAACATGTAACAGGCTCCCAGCCCAGAGGGTTGAAGGTGAAGGTCAGGGAGGGTTGGGTTAGGGGCATGGCAGGGAGGCCTCACGGCCCAGTCTTGCTCTAGCTCTGCTATCTCATCTGCTACTTCATCCAGCCGGTCACTCACCCATCCCAAGAAAGTTAACCTGTGGGGTGCACTGACCAACATCAGGCTCTGCACTTACAAAATAAGAGTTCCACCCAAAACACACACCCGAGTAGGCCAGGAGGAAGTGAGAAGTTGGGATGGCCTTGCAGGCTCATTTTTTTCTCTATGTTTTTGTAGCTCAAAACAGAGCTGGCAAGGTGGGCCCCAGCTCTAGGCAAGAACATGCTTATACCACCACACCACTGGTTTCACTGCTGGCCTGAGATGGCAGTTAAGAAGTTCTGGGGCAGAGCATGGTAGCTAGGGCTTAACCTCAGGAGCCAGGCTGCTGGAATTTCAATCCCTGCTTTACTTCGAATTAGTCATGGGACCTCAGCCAAACTACTTAACTCATTTGGGCCTCAGCAAACTGATCTATATTGGTGTTACCGGGACAGGGTCCAATCTGCCTTGGTTCTTTCCCCAAGTCAATGAAGAATCAGACACCCAAGTCAAAAGCAACAGCAAAGCTTCAATGAGCACAAAGGAAGGTACACTTCAAGGGGGAAGCAGGCCAATTCCCTGAGCAGAGAATGGCCCTTACACACAAGTTTAGGGGTTTTTTATCTTCCTAATATTGCATATGCATTAGATAACTTGACATTTTGATTGACAGGTCAGGGTTATATAACCTTTTTCCTACTGTGCCTGTCCTCACCCATAATTCAGTCTGTTATAATGATATGTATTTATGGATTGTATATTTATAAGCACCTAATGAGCATCAGCATATTCAAAGGTCACCTAAGGTCTCACGTTGTCCCTTCTGCGCATGTTCTTACACCTGGAAAGTCTCTAGCAGGCCCTTGTGGTCCAATTGTGGCTTTTTCTCCAAGTTGCCCACAAAAGGGGTGGATTCTGGGTGGAGTTTCCGCTAAGCTACCCAAAGGGGACAGACCTGGGTGTAACAATGGAGAAGTTTAATTTTCCATTTCCCTCAACCTGCTCATGACGAACTAACTGCCTAACATTGGGACCATAACCTCATTGGGACATTGTGAAGATGAAAAGAATTATAGGAAAAGTGCCCGGAACAAATGCTGGGATGTATTAAGTGTTGTGATTAGTATTACTGCAGCCAAATCTGTCTGCCTACCATCCACCTTGAAGTGTGCAGGTCAGGGCCGGCCCGTGGCTCACTCAGGAGAGTACAGTGCTGATAACACCAAGGCCGCGGGTTTGGATACCATATAGGGATGGCCGGTTAGCTCACTGGCTGAGCCTGGTGCTGACAACACCAAGTCAAGGGTTAAGATCCCCTTACCGGTCATCTTTAAAAAAAAAAAAGAAGTGTGCAGGTCATAGCCTGCAACCTAGAGCTCTTCCACACGCACTGCTCCTGACCTCCAGTGCCTCTTTCTCTCCAGGCTAAGTATACCCAGCTCTTTTAGGTATCTGAAAGAGATGCCCTCCAGGCCTCTCCCCTCTCCGCCTCCAGACAAACCCTTCTGTGACAAAGCTCTCATAAAATGCGAATGGAAATGAACTGTGGCCAGGGTAGGAGCTTCAGTCAGTGACCTTCCTCTGCCCAGAAAAAGTGCAGGAAGAGTGAAGGGTGTGTGTGAGCGAGTGAGCAAGCGAGCAAGCATGAGTGTGCAAACACTCGGGCCACAAACGCTCATCTTCAGGAGGAGCAAAGCCACCACTGGCTTGCCATCTGGATGCACCATCTTCCTCAGGTCCTGCTTCATCACTCTCCCCCAACCAACAGGAGAAAAGCTTTCTGGGCTGATCCAGGATTGTTGTAACTGGGCAGCCT